CTAGCCTTGAGCTGAAGAGCTGAGGGACAGCGCCCAGGCCCAGAGTTCAGGCCCCACTACCGGACCCCCCCCAAAAAAAAGAGAAAAAGGAGTAAGTTATAACAACTTTCATAGTTCTAGAAAAAATATGAAATATATACTTATGCTGGGAAGGTGGCTCAGTGGTAGAGTGCTTGCCTTGCATGAGGCCCTGGGTTTGATTTCTCTGCACCACTTAAGCAGAAAAAGCCAGAAGTGGCGCTGTGGCTCAAGTGGTAGAGCACTAGCCTTGAGATGGACAGTGTTCAGGCCCAGAGTTCAAGCCCCATGACCAACAAACAAACAAATAATATATATGATAGATGTGCAAATGTGACTAACATGAATAAGTCTCAAAATAATTTTTATAAAGTAAAAAAGGCTGAGGAGAGAAAATATATACTGTATGATTCCACTTGTCTTAAAACTCTAGAAATTATAGTGACAGAAAGCTAAATAGTGGTTTGCCAAGGAACAGAACAGTATAAATAGATTACAATGAAGTTCAAGGAAATTTTTTCAGACTTCATATATAATTTGCTAGTTAGTTACTTCCCTGATCTGCAATAAATACTCCACTATATTGAACACTCCACTAATTTTTCTTTTTTTTGTTTCTTTTTTTTCTTTTTTGTTTGGGGGGGGGTCCGGTCGTGGGTCCTGAACTCTGGGCCTGGGCACTGTCCCTCAGCTCTTCAGCTCAAGGCTAGCGCTCTATCACTTGAGCCACAGTGCCACTTCCGGCTTTTTTCTTTTTGCTTATGTGGTGCTGAGGAATCGTACCCAGGGCCTCAGGCATGCAAGGCAAGCGCTCTACCACTGAGCCACCTTCCCAGCCCCTAATTTTTCTTTAAAGATTATTTTATACAAACATCTTTAGAAGAACTATCATAGATTACTAAAGTAGTAAATTCACATAAAAATTATTGTCATTGATGTTCAAAGAAAGCCTAATTTTCTGTTGTTTTACATTCCAATTATTTTATTCTTTTTATTTGATTTTATTTAGGTTTTTGTCAGACCTGGGGCTTGTCAGACCTGGGTATTGTCCCTGAACTTTTTTGCTCAAGTCTAGCAATCTACCACTTGAGCCAGAGAATCACTTCTGGCTCTTTCTGTTTATGCTGTACTGAGGAATTGAACCCAGGGCTTCATGCATGCTAGGCAAGTACTCTACCACTAAACCACATTCCCAGTCCATGTTTTCTTCTTCTTTTTTTTTTTTCCGTACAGGATTTCACTGTGTAGGTCTGGCTGGCCTTAAACTCAAAATCCTCCTGCTTTAACCTCCTGAAGACTGGAGTAACGCTGTGGCCAGCTGGGTTTTGTATTCTTTTTTATATCATTTTTCAGTGCTTTGCTAGGAAAAACCTTATTATATAATCAATACTTTACTATTACATTGAAGTGTCAGGATGCATAAACAGAAAAAAAATAGTACCCAAAGAGCTATGAACTTTCCCCATGTATCTTAATGGTACGTTAACTTTAGAGCCTATGAGTGACAATTTAAATGTTAATACTGTTAAAACAAATAGCCCAGAACACAAACATACCTAGTTTGAATCAGTTAACTAAAACTTCATTTTATTTCCGTAGGCCATTATAAAAGTTTTTTTTTAACTTATTAAACTTCTATAAGCTATTCTTAAAGACAATAGAGAGGGGTAGGAATGTGGCTTAGTGGTAGGGTGCTTGCCTAGCATATATGAAGCCCAGGGTTTGATTCCTCATTACCACATAAACAGAAAAAGCCAGAAGTGGCACTGTGGCTCAAGTGGTAGAGTGCTAGCCTTGAGCAAAAGCAGCTCAGGGCAGTGCCCAGGCCCTGAGTTCAAGCCTCAGGACTGGCACAAAAAAAAAAAAAAAGAGAGAAAAGGAATGAATGGAAAAGGTGACATGCTTTATGAAGGAGTAGATGTTAAGAGTCATAAAGCACGATGTGTGTATACTACATCAGAGCAAATAATAAACATGGAGCTGGGCGCTGGTGGCTCAAGCCTGTAATCCTAGCTACTCAGTAGGCTGAGATCTGATGATCGCGGTTCAAAGTCAACCTAGGGATGGAAAAATCTATGAGACTCTTATCTCCAATTAACCACCAGAGAACCGGAAGTGGCATTGTAGCTCAAGCGGTAGAGTGCTTGCCTTGAGCTGAAGAGGTCATGGACAGTGCACAGGCCCAGAGTTTAAGCCCCACTACCGATAAAAAAAATAAATAAATAAAATAACAAACATGGCTTAAACTATTCCTCTAACACATGAACTAAATATCATTTTCTGCTAAAGGAAGCCATAGGAATTAAGACTCCTTAAAAAACAACAACATTGATTTCAGGTCTGGAACAAAAATAAATATGAAAATAAGATTACTATGATTATAAGATTACTATGATTATAATCAAGAGAATTTTGACCTGTAAAGCTCCCAGTAGCCAAAAACTAAACAGTGTGAACAAGATAATATGCAGGGAACTGATGACTCACACCTGGAATCCTAGCTCAGGAGGCTGAGATAGGAAATTAATCCAGGGTAGAAAATTCTGAGAGGGCTGGGAATGTGGCTTAGTGGTAGAGTGTTGCCTAGCATGCATGAAGCCCTAGGTTCAGTTCCATATAAACAGAAAAAGCTGGAAGTGGTGCTATGGCTCAAGTGGTAGAGTGCTAGCCTTGAGCAAAAGCAGCTTAGGGACAGTGCCCATACCCTGGGTTCAAGGCCCAGGATTGGCCAAAAAAAAAAGAAAAGAAAGAAAGAAAAGAAAATTCTGTGAGATTCTATCCCCAATTATTCAGCAAAACAGTTGACTGGAGGTATGCCTCAAGTGGCAGATGGTCAGCCAAGCAAGCAAGCAGAGCAAGTATGAACCCTGAGTTGAAACCCTCACACTGCACTGTCAAAAAAATAAAGAGAAGCCAGGGACTGGAAGCTGAAATCAAGGTTTAAATAAAGCCAACCCTGATTTCAAGAAGCCCTACAACCAATTAAAAAAAAAAAAAGAAGAGGAAAAAGACCATGCTAGCATGAAAAGGTAGCTTATACATATATCCCTAGCTAATCAGGAGGCTGAGATTCAGGCAATGATATTCAGCCCAGGCAAACAAATCCATGAGAATCCTGTTTCCAATTAACCACCAAAAAGCCCTGGAAATGAGATATGGCTCACTGGTAGCATTCTAGCTGTGAGCAGAAAAGCTAAGCCAGAGGCTCAAGGTCCAGAGTTCAAGTCTGTATAGCAGTGGATGTGCATGTGCCCGCCCAACTGCCCCCTGCCCATGCTAAAAGGCAACTAGGGCATGTAACTCAGTGGTAGAGTGCTTGCCTAGACCTTTGATTCCTAGTAATAACACAAACTCCCCATCTCTAAGAATCATGATTAGAGAGAAAAAACAAAACAAAACAAAAGCTGTAAGAACACAATCAACAATTGACCTAGTTTCCACTAAGAAATTCTAAGAAAATAAAACCAAATCAAATCATGAGATGGAAGGGGTATGCCTAATTAAAACTTGAGCTGGTGGCATGGATCAAGTGGTAGAGCTTGGGCCTAGAAAATCCAAGGCCCAGAGTACAAACTAAAGTAAGTCCTAAACAAACAAGCAAAAATAAATAAATAAAAATTAAAAAATGAGATAAACTGGGTGTAACCTGTAACCTCAGGCACTCAGTAGGCTGAAACTGAAAATACAGTTTGAGGCAAATATGGCAAATTAGTGAGTCCTTTTGTTAATTTTTTTTTTTTAATGAAAAATAAAAAAGGACCTGGGAAATGTTAGCTTGGTGGTAGAGTGCTAGTCCAGTATACTAAACATCTTGGGCTTAATACTCAGTACCAAAGAAACAAACAAACAAAAAGACAAAAGCCCAGTGCTGGTGGCTCCTGCCTGTAATCCTAGCTACTCAGGAGGCTGAGATCTGAGGACTGCAGTTCAAAGCCAGCCGAGGCAGGAAAGTCCGTGAAACTTTTTTTTTTTTTGTCGGTCGTGGGGCTTGAACTCTGGGCCTGGGCGCTGTCCCTCAGCTCTTCAGCTCAAGGC